ACAGAACATGATTTCTGGCCATTTAAAAATATTAAATATATATAGAATTTACAGTTGTTCCTCTTTTTTTTTCTGTATGGATAAATATATACATACATATTATATTTACCCATATACATATGTATATATATATGTATACATACACACATATAAAGCCATAAACTCACATAAACATATAAATATAAACATTCATAAAATTCTAAATACCAGATTTTTTTAAAGATGTTGTCAATGCTTCATAAATTTCTAAATATTTTACAAAATTCACTTTGACATATTCAAACCCCAAAGCATAACATTCATCTGCTTCCCTTACTGCTCAGTCATGATTTATTTCCTGTCTGGCAAAACTGATTTATCACCTCTCTTATGATTGGGATTTTGTCACTTTTTAATACACTGAATCCTTGATTTTTACCAAAGCTAATTTCCTTTTAAGATTTGTCTGAAGCAGTCTATTATAATATACTCCTACAGGATCTGCATTTAAATTGATTTGTCATTATTTTCCATTCCATTGACCTAAGCCCTGTTCTCCTCAAATATTTTAGTGCCAAGCTCTGCAGTGAGAGTGATGGTGCTCAGTTGCAAGGAGGAAGCCAAGAATGGCAATGACAGATGCAGAGCCTTTCTGACAAGAAAACTCCTCCATATTTTGGATAGCTCTCTCCTATGCAGGTGAGTTACTGGGGGTCACAAAGGATACAAGAGCCACACAACAACCACAAAGACTTTTGAAGAGATTCTGGCTAAGCAGGTTAATAATGCCTACTTCTGATCAGGATCTGGGACTGTTCAGGGTAAAGGCTGAGATGATGTTATTCCTCATGTAGAGCAGAAATTTTCTTTAGATTTTTTCCTTAATTGTAGCACCTCAAGCAGCCTAGTGTCTGGTACCATTAAAAAGGGATATGAATCTCATACAGAGAAAAGAACATTGCTGACTCAGCTGCCATCACCAATTTTCTGCAATTCCCTTATTTAGTATTAAGGTGTTTTATTCAAGAGCAGCACATCTTTGTTCCTTTGTGAACAGATAACCCCATGACACACAGAGAAGATGTGGGGACCCTGAGCACTCACCTCCCCAAGTGCTGAGGCCAGCAGAGGCTCTAGCCTCTTGTATCCATCTTCCTGGTCAGCTTCTCCTTCTGGGAAGAGCTGGGGAGCAGCACTGGCAGCTTTGGCAGGCAAATGCCTCTTTCACGCTTGCAAATGGTCAGTTGCTCATGAAGAGGATCATCTGTCAAGTGAGGTGAGGGTACCAGTGGTCTAGTCACATCCCTTTCTGAGCCCGCGTGCAGCCAGGATGCTGGATGGAGGCTCCTGTGGCTCTCCAGGGTGTTCTGAACGTGGATCACAGCTGCAAAGCCACGTAGGATGTGTGTGTTGCCTTGTCCTTGAGTTAAATAGTTAAACAGGGAGTCACTGCCCTTATCCAAAGAAACAAAAGCTAGATGTTTCTGCTAATGATGCTAATAACCTCCTTCCAGGGAATGGGGAAGCAATTTCATTAACAGCTCATAACAACTCATTTGATTGAAACAAATCAGGTTTTTTTATTCATCTTCTGAACTCTAGTCACTTATTTCATGCTTTCTAAAAATTTTTTAATCTCTGTTACTTTCTTTCAACTTTTCTCCACTGTTTCTCAATTCCTCCAAAACAGGATTTAATACTGTAACCAAAACTCAACAGTATTGAACAAAGTGGAACAAGAACCACTGTAGCACTCAGGAAATGTCCCTACATCCCCAGAATCTGACTTGCCATTTTCTCAGTGGCATCACTGAATACTCAGCCAGTCAGTGTCACTTTCAAGCATTATGAAATGTTTCTGCTTATCTCACTTGTTAACATTTTGTGTTTGACTGTTTGCTTGAGATCCAGGGGGTAATTTCTGCCATCTCAGACAGAATGTGGGTGGAAGTGGCTAAGTTGAAGACAGCAAGATTCAGAGAGTCTGTATCCTACCATTGCCCAAATATGGCAGTCTGGTTCCTAAACACAGGCAGACAAGCGCACAAAAAGCATCCTGCCCTGTATCCCAGACCTGCTGAGGTTCATACCTAGGACAGAGACAAACATCACCTCCACCCAAATCTGTTAGGAGTCCTTAGACACTTGACATAGAGCAAAATGCAGTGCCCAAGGAGATTTCTACTGAGCAGCCTGGATGGGGGAGGATGAGCCATGTCTCCACACACCAGTTTGATTTTTATTGACCTGAAGACTTCTTCCTTCTATGGGTAATTTGTTTTACCTTGGCTTGCAATGTCAAGCCCAATAATGTTTGCATGCTGCAATTTAAGATTGTGTATACATGGATGATTACACAGCACAATAATTTAAGCCACACTAATTTAATGATATGCTAATACATTCACTATTAGATTTCCTCTTTTCTTAAGAGCATGTGATTTAGTGTGTGTTGATTTAGCATCAGGTTGACTCTCTTTTAACTTGTGATTACATTTTCTTTGCTCTGCTTTTTCTCAAAAGAATATTCTGTCACATCAGAATACAACATTTAGTACAGCATTCAATACAGCATTTTTTGCTTTTTCCTCACTGAATTACATCACACTGAATTTAGAAAGCATGCCTGTTTTCTTGGGATCGCTGTGCATTTTTATCATATCCTCTGCAGAACCTGTAACTATTCCCAGGTCAATGAATATAATACTCCACACCAATGATGATTTTTTAGAAATTGCTTAATAGTACTGAGAGTAGGTTAGATTTTTTTCCTTCTCACACTCCAAAAGACCTTCAGATTTCACAAATGGTCAAACATATATGCATATTTAAAACAATATTTTTAGATGCATCAGTTTTAATTTTAGAAAAACTTCATTTAGAGAATATTTTCCTAGTTTTATATGAAAACAGTACACTGGAACTGAATCAAAAGCCTCAATGAAATGAAGATTTATCATAGCCTACTCTTTTTTACCTAATTCCTTAGGCCATTCTTCTTGTTAAAGTGGAAAATTAAATTGGCTGACGTGATGGGATGTTGGCAGACCAGCACTGCCTAGTTTTTATCACTGTGTTATCCTCTAGCTACTTATAAATTGCTTGTTGAAAAAGTCACGTCAAAATTGGTGGAGGGATTGTGTTAGAGCTGCAATGGGTTATGTAAGGTACTTGTCTACATTTCAAAATTTTCACACTTCAGCTGTGCTGCCACAGTTAAAACAATAGCAGCCTTCCACAAACCCACTGTCAGTGTCAGTGCAGTTCAGCTGGAATAAATATGTTAATTCCAGAGCATGTAATCTGCACCTGATTACTTGGTTCAGCAATTGAAATAAAATATGCCACATCTATGCCCCAGCTTTACTTGACCTTACTAGTTCATCAGCAATGCCTGTCCTCATTTACACGGCTATGCCTGCAATACTGAGCTGACATTCAGCCATCTGTGAAGCTCTTGTACAAGAAACAGCTTGCTTGTTAGTCCTGAGATCCTTTCCAGATTGCAGGAAGGATCAGACTATTTTAGGGAGCTCATGAAGTCTAAGGGAAGCTAAGAGGTTACTGGAATTTCGGCTAGGAGTGATCAAGGCCTTAGTTCTGATATGATGGTACAGAACTGCTGTAAGTGATGCTCCATGTCATAACATCCAGTGTTGGGATATAGACAAAAACAACCACTAGTTGCTCTAATGCCCTCTCCCTAAATTTCATTCTCATTAAAACTGCTGGCATGTAGCTGGAAAATTTTGAGCCTTCCACAAGAGATATTAAAAATGAGAATTCCTTCATAGAAGCAATGAGCCATCAGGATATCAAATGTTGAATTTTATTGGTCTTACTGTCAAGACCTTTCACAGCCTCTTTGAACACTACCTGTCCATGGTGTACCTAGCACCTGCCATTAAATCAGGAGATGTCATCTTCCACCTCCAGGTACCTCAGGATGCCAAACTTCATCATCTCTGTATTAAATTTTCAAGCAAACGTGTTTCTTGAACTCAATCTCTTCTTGGGAAGACATCCCTGAGGGTATCTTCCACTTCATTATCCCCTCCTTTTCTGATGGCTGCAAAACAAATGACAGCTGATGGGATGCTGGGGTGCTGCTCTTCATTTTAATTAATAGCATCTCACTTCTTCCCATCAATTTCTCTACTGTGTCTGCCTATCTGTTATTTCTTATCTATTGGTTGGCTGTAAATTCTTCATGGTGAGGGAATATTTTCAGTTTGTAAATGTACAGTGTTCAAATCTACAAGTGGTCTGTAGCATTACAATAGTATATATAATACATGAGCAATAAAAATGTAATGATTCAAGCAACTAGGCACTTTTCTATGCCAAATAAATTTCTATTTTTCATATTATTTCTGATACCTCCTTTGTTTAGATTAATGTTTGTTTCATGCCTACCATGGCTTTTGTCTAATCAAGAAATGTGGCTAAGTGTTCATCAAATTTTCTGCTGAGTTGCTAAAGCCATTCCCAGAAGAGGATTTGTGTGCCCTGAAAGGAGCTGAAAACCATGTAGCGGGCTAGAAGCTGCTTTTAGTTATCCTGTTGCAAACAGTAAAAACACACAGAGATGCTTGAGGATTCACTTTGTAAAAACAAATCCATTCAGTCACTTCTGTCCACCAATGACTGCCTACAAGTAATTCAGTTTTGGGGTTTTTACAAACAGAAGAGACTAGTATGCTTTTTGTTACGATACACAATATTCTCACTCAAAATCAGTGGATGACATTCTATACCTATAATATCAATGACTGCAAATCAAAACACATCGATAGAATGGCATAGCTTATTCCATTATTTGTTACTTTCCATCAGATTTTATATGCATCTTCCTTTGATTTCAGCTAAAAATCCTGTCAAAATTATTTTTATTAGTTATTTCCTAACACCTCAAAGGCTACAGGTCTAAAGGAATAGTTTGCTGTTGCCTAAAAATTGCCTAGTTGGAAATGTCAGATTTTAACTAATGCAAAATTTAAAATGTAATAAAGAGTGCACTCTATTTTTTCTCAAAAAATTTAATTGCAGAATTATTTACAGGAGATGAACATAAACAATACATAAACCAATTGAAAGAGGCAGCTTCATAAAAGAGCCATGGGGCAAAATAGTGAAGCACATTTTCTTACAATCAGCTGGAGGTGAGTAGAGAACCAAGAAAAAAAGAATAACTCAATAATAAAACAATTTTCAAATATGTCTTCAAAGTAACAAATAACATTCTGGTAAAGAAGATATTACTGAGAAGCAATAAATTATTGTAGCAATGAAACAACATACTGTACATTCAATTTAGGTATCCTGCATGCTACTAAATAGAATTTATCAAAAGAACCATAAAAGCATGAGAAAGAATTACATAAAATAGTTTAATTCTAGTGAAGTGTAGTTTTATACAGATGGTGAATATTTGGCACTCAGTTCATCCTCATTGTTGATATGATTTCTTATGTATATATATTTATATATATTTATATATACTTTTAATGATAACTAAACAGCTAGTTTCCTGGTTCTAACATTCCTTGAAGTTCTACAGGAGGCATTTAATTTAGTCCTTAGGCCACACTTGATTATTTTGGCAGGTCCATGGTAAATGAAAGTATGAGTTTTGTCTCTGTACAGAAAATTCTGCACAGTCATAGTGGCTTTTCTTCAGGAAAGAACAGTTTTGGAGCATATAAGCCAAGCTAGTCAAAAGGGAATTTTATTTCAGTCAGGAAATTAATGTATAAATTTAACTAAATAGTACATACAGGTGAGCCCTTTTAAAATGAGATGGCCATTCTATTAAACCTCCAAAGGATAATTCAAAGCATGGATATGAGCATGTGAGTTCCATGGTAATTATAAACAAAGCTGGCATGTCTTTGTGAGGACTCTCTTCAGAGACTCAAATCTGCTACCGAGCCCTCTGCATGGCTCTGACCTTCCTCAAAGGAAAAATGAGCTCCTACAAAGTAATGGCACGCTTGCTACCTTGAGTCCTTCCTACCTCAGACTTGCTGAGTCAGATATTGATCTGAATTATATTGATTCAGATCTGATATTTCTTTCTGGTTTCAGTTTCTGAGCATTGATCCTAATACAACTGGGACCAGAACTTAGCCCGGTGCTCTGCAATAATCCATCTCACAAATAAGAAACTTGTATGACAGTGAAGCTTTAGGAATGGGAAATGATGTGTTGAATGAAAGAGTGGCAAGGTAAGAAGAAGAAAATTCCTCACTAATGGACTGTGTTTGTGAATAATGTCTATATATTCAAATAAGCCTCCTCCTCATTTATGCTTAGGTGAAAATATCCATGTTTTTGTACCTAGAGAAGTAAAAAATCCTGTCCAACAAAACCAATTTAGAAAAATAACAATTTGGCCTTAATAAAATATAGAATTAAATTGCCAGCTGATGAAAACTGTTCTGTGTTTGCTCAGTTAAAGAGCAAGCTGTGTAGACAGACTAATTTACCTTAACTACGATCTGACTTAAAAAGCCCAGCTCTCTTCTGGCAATGAAGGGTAATGGGACAAAAGCTGGGTGTGGAAAGGTGGATCAGTGAACGTGCAGTCTTCGTCTGCTATCATCTTTTATGAAATGCAATATGCATTTAATGAGAAAAGATCTGGAATACCATTTTTAGATACAGAATCATAGAATCGTTTATGTTGGAAAAGACATTCAGTAATGAATGCCATGGCCCCTTTCAGCTATTGGAATTTTATTTCATTAAGAGGAGCTGAATCAGCTCACATATGCTGGCCAAATTTTCTTTTGGGCAACATTCCATTTCAATTTTGGTTTTATACTTGCTGTCCTGAACAGCCTATTATGTAGTTAAACAGCTACAGCATTATGCCATAGAGGTAGCTGCATTTCAGAGATAAATTAAGCAATTTCTGTGGATACAGAGGGCTTAATTCCTGACAGGACTCTGTATATGCATATGAGTATGCCATATTCCTGAAAGATGGTCCCTGGAGGTGAACATGGTGAATAGCTGCTGATGGGCCATGGACTGCAGCAGGCACTGAACCTGCCACAGCCATCCATGTGAGGATGAGCTGCAAGAAAGGGGCACAATCTACAGGAATGTGAGTGTTGACTGAGGCTCCTGGGTCTGGTTCTCTGGAACCTTGACAGTGAAAAATCATTATGTGTATATACTGATGCATGTAAATATCCTCTCTCTGTTCTGTGCAGTGTGAAATGGTGGTCTCTCATCTGCTGATCCTGTCCATGCAGAGAGAGGTGCCCCCATTGCTCTGCCATAGAAGAACCCTTAGGGTTGGGGCTGAGTCTCACGAGAGAGCAGCTGCCCAAACCAAAGCACAGTCGTCATGCCTCAGTGCTGTGCCCCACGTCATCCCTCGTGTTAGCTGGGCTGGAGGCAGACCTGGGGAGAGAGCAGGGCGCCTGGGGAAGGCTGCTTGTGCAGCAAGGACCCCGGATGGATCTCTCCTGCTAAGAAAGTGAGGGAAATGCACTTGAGAAGGGGAGACTTGCCAAGATTCCTGACCAAGAGGGCTCAGCTGCTGGTGCCATCAGCTTCCGTGCCTGGCACCAGCCAGGAGTCTCCTCCGGCACTCTCCCAGGGAGCTCCTCCACTGCCAGGACCTCACTGCCATTGTCAGGAACAGAAAAGACAGAGATTGTTCTGGAAGATTAATTTGATGCTCATTACTCCCTGCCTACTCCCTAGGGTATGGTATGAGCACTGATTGCCCTCATCTCTGCTTTGCTCAGGTCTTCCTCTTGGTTCAGTGAGTCTTTTCTTCTCCTTCAGCACAGGCTCAGACTGTGAGGTCCCAGATGCTGGAAGCATGGAAGGAAACTCCCAGCAGCGTGGGGACAGGTGGGAGAACCCCCAGCATCCCGCCATGCTGGGTTACCTGTCCCAGCTGCAGCCCAGCCTGGAGTTTGTGTGTTGGCTAATAAAGTGCTTGGAGATCCTTCTGGATGAAAGGCACTGTGTAAGTGTGGGTGCCAACCTGTCATACACCAGGAAGCACCTCTCTAGTCATTAAGGGGTTTGCTGATATTCCTTACCTCGAGCGCAGCTGGCCAGTGGTGTCCCTGCATCATAAGATGCTCGAGGAACAGTAATGGGAGTAACGGTGCTTCACGATTCATTTAAGCTCCCTTACACTGAGGCTCTGCTTTCACAAGTTTTCAGTGCACACAGTTTGACACCCGGAGCTGCCAGACCAGCTCCAGACCTCAAATCGGCATGCACAAACCAGCACTTGATGGGACAGCCTCCAGTGTGCCCTCGCCACTGGTGCCAGCTCTGAGGTGCTGAGGAGGACATCAAACCCACCAGCTGGGCAGGGCAGGCTCAAGGCTTCGAGTGTAAAAGGCTGAGCTGGGCTGATTGGAGGTCTAGGGGGCCTGCGTGGAGAGGGCCGGGGACAGAACGGTGACACTGCCTGAGGTGCCACGGGGCCAGGAACCTCTGCAGGGCAGTGCTTCCACAGGCCGCGAGGAGGCTGCAGGCCCCGTGTGACATACCGTGCCACACGTGACACTCGTCACACAGCAGTTACTTGCAAAACCACCCAATGACCAAACATTCCTTGACTATGTACTAGATGCAGTAATGAGGAAGTAGAGTACTAATTTACTGATACAGCAGGACGTGGGCTTATTTTAAAACAAATAATTTCCATCGTATGAAATATATGTTATATCTATCTATATATATGAAATTCACGCACTTTCCTATGCACACTTTAATTCCTTCCTGATTGATTTCAAATCTAATATATGTCAAGGTTTAAGCATGAATTAAAATAATCATTTTTTGGTATTAAACTGTACAACGTTGTTCATGTTTGCATTCTGCCAAAGGCCATTCTAATTGGATGGACGTGAAATAATAAAACACTTCATAATGTACTCCACCAAATTACAAAGAATTTCAAATCTAAAAAAATATACAAAGCAAAAATAAGTATGGCAAATATCAATTTTACCTTTCAGGCCTTTTTCCTTATTTAAATTTTCTGAATTCTGTTTAGTATACTTGTGTTTTACAGTCATGACTAATGACTAAACGAACAGAGACTTTCTATAGTTTTAATGTGTTAGAATACATATTAGCCCAATTAATATTTAATTAAACACCAGACTATTTTGCTATATTCAGCTGTTGTGAGTGGGTCTATACCATGAACTCTCAAAGGAGAAAGCATTCTAGTTCCTATCTTTCTGTTTATTTCTATTCCTCCTACTTTGGTTTTGTAACTGACATTTATTTTTGTTATGTGGAGTCAGATTACAATAGATCTGGACATATGTTTATTAAGATACGGTGTTTCTCATGTCAGAGAATGAAGCAATCTGACTTCGATTTATTTGCAACACAAATATTATAAGCATAATGTTATCCTTCTAAACTAATCAGGTGTACAATATGTAAATTGAAATGGCTTATTTGCCTTAAAAAATATAATGTTACCTGTACAACAATTTAATATATTGCACTTCAAAATGTAATGTGCACAGACAACATTATCAAATTTGTTGGTAGGCATCTAGTTTACTTTTGATTTTTTTTCCAATTGTTTTTGTGGGTTTTTTTAGTTGTTTGGTTTTTTTGTTTGTTTGAACAAGGTGGATCAAACAGAAATCATAGATTTATAAATCTTATACTGAGAATTTTCTTATAGCAGCATAGGAAATGTAGAACACAGACTCCTCCAAGTCAGCATTATTAGGCCAGCTGGAGTCTCAGTTTATCTGTAATCTGTTTGGTTTACAATTTGTCTTCATAAAGTCTGATTACTGGCAGGATCAGGTACAGCTTGTCTTAATTGCTTAATTGACCTGTTGCTGCAGGTAGAAGGGTTCAAGTGAGTAAAGTGATTCCTCCTGGAAGTGTGCAGAAAATTAGATAAAACGTGTCAGCTGCCATACGTATATATGTGTACAGGTGTGTGTGTCTCTAAATTTCTTCAATCTAGGAAAAATACTGGCTTTGGTTTTGTGTGGATATTCTAATTAGCAGCTCCACTTTAGGATACCAGTTTTCAAGACTAAAGATGCCAGTCTCTGCATGTACTTCTGTATTTAAAATAGTACAACAAATATAGGAAATAGCATCAATATTGTACACTGCCTCAGATTCAGCTCTTTCCTTAATAGAAAATGCCTCGAAAACGCAAGGGATGGGAAATATAATGTTTTCATCTATAGAAGAATATTTCAGGGATTTATTATTTTTTATTCCTTTTTTTCTTTTTTTTTGTCCTTTTTTTTTTTTTTTTGCATTCTTGAAGGATATACATTCGTCTTGGTTTTTGCTTCAAATATAGTTTAAGGCTATTTGGTAAAGTATATACCAGATACCAGGCTCAATTTACAGGGGTGTCTTCTCACAGGAACTTCTCAAAACTTCATCTCTAAAGATTCGTACTTTGAAGCCAAGCATGCTTTATCAGTTGTCCAAAGACAGAACTCATGCTTAATACCACACACTGGGAAAAAAGAGTGAAAAAACCAAGCAACCAAACAAAAGAAAACAGATTGGAAATAATGTCAGATCTGCAAAACCTATGGTACTTCACGTTTTCACTCAACCATCAGGCTGCAGGGTGTATGGGATTTGGATTTAAAGTGCTCAACAGGTGAAGAACCAAAGTGCTTGAGTATAATTAAAGAATTGTTCTGCCTATGGCTAAATACATTGCATTTGTTAAAGCAGGTAAACGGGGAATGTGGTAGCTGGGGCTGTCTGTCTCACTGGGTTCTCATTCTTTTCACCTAAACTTGTGTTCAATAAGATTCAAACCTTGGTATTGGGGGCTGCATGTTGCTCATTTTATTGCATCTTCACCTGAAGACTTCTAGGTGCTGGACTGCTTGGTTGGCTCTGGAAGGTAGGTGAAGTGGAATAATTCTGTCCTAAATTTGTTTTAAATGAAAGCCTCTTGACTGTGGTAGCTACCACTTCTCTCTGACAATATGAGGCTTGAAAATTTATTATTTTCCTTATGCACTTATCTCTTGAGTCAGTTTTTTTTTTTTCCTATGTCTGAAGCAAGCAAGAAACTTATTCTTGCCATAAATGATACTGCATAGAAAAATAGTTCTAAAAAAAATTACAACTGTAAACCACAGTTCACCTTTACCTTAACATAACCATTTAAACTTATATATACTTACCACTCACATTCATATTTCTTAAACTGTTTACAACATCACAACTGGCATTTTAAACAAGCAAGATTTTTTTTGTTCTCAAGGATACCCTGGAAACTCAATTGTTATAACAATTTGAGAGTTTGAAATAGTACATATAGCACAGCTCTTGAAATGAAAGAGAGAAGGTTTATAAAATAAATATTAACATGTAAAAGAACAGTTAAAAATGCAATGAGTGGTCCAAAGGAGCAAGTATAACTTTTTCTTTACTCGTCTTACTACAGAAGATCTAACTTTTTAAGGCTTCCGTTTTCCTTTCACCATCACTCAAGTCCTCTTGCATTACAATTTTGCTTAGGTTTCAAAGTGTCGTTATACTGCTAACAGCAAACGTTTCTCAGTGGACATTCCCACCATCACCAGACTTGTATGCTTCTTGGTTTCTGATGAACTTTGGAGTTTTAGTGGCTGGATATCCCTGTTCATCTCCAGAAACTTGAATGAGATGAGAGGCCTAATGTTATTTTGCAGTAACAAAGATGAGAAGAGTGGCAGAGCGCATGGGTAAATATGTTAGCTGGATTCTAGGAAAAGAAACTGAAGGTCAAGGAGATAAATGGGTTCTTTCTTTCCTGCTCTTTACATTTGTAGCACCTTCTACTTGGATTAGCTAATGCCTCTAGTGAATGGTGAGATGCACCCATTTATAGTTTGTTATTCTTATCCCTAATTATCACACATTTTATAAAAATATAAATAACAAAAAGTAAGCTGGGTTCCATCTCAAGAGGTGTTTCTTGTTGTCCTCTGAGAATATATTGGATAAGTCAGGTCTTGACAAGCCCTATCCATTGTAGCTGATTGTAAGTCAGACAATAAATACAAAAAGAAGTCGTTCTTGCGGTGAGCTCAGCAAATTCTGAGGAAATCAAAAGCATTCCACTGTGCTTATGGCACAAAGAACACAACATCAAGGGTATATTTAGTGGAGAGAATGAGACAAAAATTACCAGGTAAGTGACAAACTGTACAAGCATTTTGTTTAAAAAAAGGAACTCTGCAGCATTCTGTCTTTAAAGCCGGGTTTGAGCCTCTGGGATATAGATCTCAATGCTGTCTGCACGCTCTGTGGCTGAATTCTGCCGGAAAGAGGCTGCCCGCTTGGCAGCCATCAGCCGTCTTCTGGCTTCCTGCCGCTGTCTGTCAGGTAGGTCCAGAGATTTTTCTCTTGTGATAGGGAATTTTCCTTTTGGGGGCTTCTTTGGTACAGGAGGAGGAATCTTTCTTTCTTCCTGCAACAGGGCATTAAAACTAAGGGTGAACTGTGTGTAAAAGGTACTTGTCAGCAGAGCATGCACATCAAAGACATGAAATGCAAAATACTGACTACATACATCAAGCATGCTCAATTTGTGCTTGCCCATCAGCTGACTAATGGATTACATGAACAGCTATCCACACTAGGGACACTGACAAAACCTCTTACTTGACAACCATTATGCATTCTATGGTCCTGCACCTGAAAAAAGACTGCGCTTCCTTCCAGCGTCCTTGCAGGTATTGGCACATGCAATCTGCACACCTCACTTTCATATGGATTTGTTTGATTTAAGCTGACACATTATTGCACTCATTATAAACAGAAACACACACTGTCTCTCCAATAAGAATTCAGCGCATCTGTGTGGTCTGATCAAGTGAAAAAACTCTCTAAGATTAGCAGGACAGGATTTTTGATTAAATTAATCATACTGAGTTTAGCCTCAGCTGGATATGAGATAGCAGCTGTGTATACATGTCTATTAGTTTAGTCTCCTCCAGGAATTGCTCTGTGGAAACATTCAAGCGCCAGCCAGAGAGAGAACATAGGGCTAATTGTTCTGCTTGCAAGCCTGGGCCATTTTAAAGAAAATTATTCTGAAGAACTATCAAATTATAAAGTGAAGTCAATAGATTTTGTTACAAAAGGAGCTGTAAATTTCTCTGCAGGTGTTAAATCAAGAATTGTTTTGACCATTTACAGACTGTAAAATATCATATGAGGGTCTATAACCAAGGTATTGTACACTAATTTAGGTTAGAAGAAATGGACCTCTGGAGGTGATTTCATACAATTTCCATTCAAAGTGCACTTGAAATTAGATGCAAATTTAAAATTAAATCAGTTTGGTTTGGATTTGGTTTATTTTATTTTATTTTATTTTTTATTTTTTTATTTCATGTTTAATACTGGACTGTATAGCCCTGAAGATGAAGACTCCATAACTTCATTTATATAGGTACAGTTACTATGACAGATCTTTTGCTATATAATGTCTTAAAGTAATGGTAGTAGTCCAGAGTATGGGCTGTTCCTTATGGAGAACACAGTTAATTTGATGCACAGCAGGATTCAAATAATACAAAAATTGAGCTGATACGCTTATGGTTTACAGACTCCTCACTGGGGTTTTTTTGTTTCGTTTGGTTGGGTTTTTTTTTTTTTTTTTTTTTTTTTTTTTAACTAATTGTGCCTCTACTATCCAAATACAATAGCCAAGACTAAATAACTAAGTTTATTTAAAAACACAGTTCTGCATTATGGAGGAATAGTGCAACAGCCTGGGATGCTATTCCCCATTATAGCCAGTTCTGCCTGTCTTTTATTTTCTCTATCTCCTGTTTTCATAAAAGCTGCATTCCTGTCATCCCATCTTATTTTCTTTTCTACTTTTAGTTATTTCCCTCTTAGGAATATCACTGTTGCTGTCACTATAATAATTTCTTACTTCTAGTTGCCACTAGTAAGCAAGAGTTGCAAACTCACCATCCACCAACCCGTTGGCTGAAAATTAAAATCCAAGAGGAGCATGAAGAAATGAAAAAGTTGTCAAAATGCCTCCTAATTCCTCCCAAACCAAACAAATATTCACCTGAGGCCAACAGTACTGACTCAAACCAAATACTGTTATCATCTGACTGATACAATAATAAGCAAGGATAGTGGGATAATCAAGGTAAGGGATGAAGTTCTAGAGAGGGGAAAGGCAGTTTCAGAATTACACTGCTTTTATGGGCAATTTGTCACCTTTGGTTTGTAAGTGTCATGTGGGGCATCTCCCAAGGGGTGGAGTTGCAGAGCACAGGCACAGTGACTTCACCAGCAGTGCTTTGTCCCCCAGAAGGATGTCAGCTGAGCTTTAGTATGACCTGTGCTCTGTTCTGCCACATGCTTTTCTCTCATTCCAGTTCTGTTATCATTTGTGTCATGCAGGCAGGGTTAAACACTGCAGTGTTCAAGTTTGAGCTGCCCCAAATGTAGCAGAGTGCTGAATTTACCTTGTGTGAATTCTTGGGCTATTGTCTTCCATCTGAATTAATAAGAATATATTTCTGTTCTAGCCTTTAGAATGTGAATCAAATAATTTGAACAAAAGTGTCATGGAGTAAACTAGCGTAGCAAAATTCATTTTATTTATTATATAATTCAGCTCAACATTGTTAAAAAAGAAAAGACTCCTGATATCTGATAAAAGTTTCCATGTAAAAATTGGGCCATGCCCATTAAATACTTCCCAGGGCTAGGAACCTATTGTGTTTCACTATTGTATTTAACACAAGGATACTGCAGAACTACAAATGGGGAGTAAATGGTATTGTCCACGGTCTGCTTACCTTCCTTTCAGGTGATTCTATTATTTTCCATTCATTGAGTTTCAACTGGTGCAGTTCATCAAACTTCATGCTGACATCTTCAATTGAGAGCTGCAGTAAGTCCCAGAAACCTGCAAGGTCCTGGGAAGTTGGTCTTGGCATGGCACTCGGGTCCTGTAGCGCACAAAGGACAGAACATGAATACTCCAGGAGGCTTTCAGGGTGTGCACTGAGGCAGGAAGGGCACGGTGCCAGATTTCATTGCTGCAGCACTGCTCAGAGCTAAGGCTCTGCGTGCTCTGCAGCTGGGAGCTGTGACTGGAAACTGTGCCTCCTACACAACCCAAACATGAATGAGTTGGATGTCACACGCCAGCCTTCCCGAATGTGCGGCATGGGAAGCTCCTTAGCACCATATGCTGTGCTGACCTGCATTTCTAAAAAGGAACAAGCTGACAGCCTCTGTCTGCTGATTATTAAAGGCAAGGGGAGCGTGGTTTGTATTCCAGCCAGCCTGAAGTCTTTCTGGTTCAAAATTACATTCACAATAGCTAATTGAGACAAAACAATGCCACAAAGACGTCACCCTATGCTGAACTTGATGTTTACATTGTCTTCAAACGTATACATGAAGTATGAAATCTTGATGGGATGCTTGGATTTTGTTCTGCAGGGAGTTAAATCACACTCAGGAGCTGGGAAGACATTACCACCAGGTACTGCAATTAAGATGCTATGTGTGCTTAAGACTTAATGGAGCAAACATTAATGGTAACAATTAGCAAGATGATCTTGTATTTGATAATTAACCTGATGCCAGTGCTGGATAAAAATTGTATTATAAGGTAGTATATAGACTCCTAACCCTATACTCTCTGAGCACTGGTACTAGGTCAAGAAGAGAGCTTTGCCACTTTATTGAAATAGGGCTTAAATGGTAAACATGGAGGTGAACATGTTTCATGCCTTTTTCCTTCCAGGACAGGAGGAAGCCATTATGGTGGTCTAAAGAATGGAGCTGGGAGAGAGAATGTGAAAACCATGCCAAACAGAATCTGGATCTCTCCCTTTCTGGCTAAAAGCTGAAAAGACTGGTTTGCTATGTCAGCATCACTGCTGTTATGGCAGGCTCTGTTCCCCACCTTTTTCAAATCTAGTGGTCAAAGGCATTTTATATTTAAACACAACCCCACAGCTGTCTAGAAACTGGGAGATAAGTCAGCATGGCTCTTGAATCACACATTTCTAAGGGTTTTAAGCTTGGAACTGCTGCTCAAACTTGGGTTTACAGATGCCACTGTGGGAGATTAGGGCCTGGAACTGAGCATGACAACATGCAGTGTCACCATAGGCCCTACTGGAATCTGGGCCAAGAACAACTTGCAAGTCTTCTTCACTAGAAGAAAGTTTCCTTTTAATAGGGAGCTTCAGGGACTTAAGAGAAGTGACCATATAGATTATAACAGACATCTGGGAAACATTACAACTCCACATTAGTGTTTACTGAAAACTACTTCATTGGGTGGATCCCAATATGTTACAAAACAGTTTAAAATTTATGTCAGTGGGGTTACTTACTCTACAGAGGTCAATATTTCAGGTTTTAGGAACTGACTCCCTGTGTGAAATTCATGAAGGGAGTCCCACAGCAGTCTGTCTTATCTTGCAATCTGTTATCTCCTGCCTGGTCTCCTCACTCACTCTCCCCAGTTTCCTCTAAACAGCCAGAAACTGATTCCACTCATTGCAAGGGCATTGCCTTCTGAATCAAGGTTAATTACTGTTCTGTACCTTTGTGCACCCCACTCTGCTCACAGTGTTTGTGGAGACCATGGCCTCCAGCACAACTCTTGCAGAGGGCTGTGCCATGTATGCTCTGGACACAAGAGGGCTGCCTCCTGCTTCTTACACATGTACAGTTCATGAATAAATGCTGGCACAAATGAGTACTATTACACTTGACTAAGTTTTGAAAAGATTGGCTTAAACCTGCTTCTCTCAGAAACTGCTTATTTATTTGTATCTTACTTGGAATTCAGCTTTGCAGCCCTCTTTTTGAAGGAGGCCTAAAGCAAGCAACAAGCACCTCGATGTTGCTCAAGCTGCTCTGTTTTAGCCTGCAGCCATGACATACAAGCTGAGCGGGATCTGTGCTGACTACAGAGCATGGAGAAGGACACTTCAAAGAAAAAAAAGGGTGTTACAAAAAGTAATGTAAATAATGCAAAAGAGACTAGTTATTAATCAGTAATGACATTTTCTTAAGTAATTAGTGGGAACAGCAAACGTGTAGGATATAGCCATCCAGAGTAATAAAATAGAAAACTTCATTTAAGCTTACATTTCTATGAATTTACCCTAAGTGAGAGTCTTTGATAAGAGCTCCTAACACAAAGCATAATCAAATGTGCCATTTGAAGTTCCCATGATCCTTTAGAAAAGTCCATATGTGGCATTCATGGTTAAATTTCAGTTTAGTAAGTATATTCCTCTGAAACCCTTGTTGCATTTTGAACTGGCACAATTAAATGCTGTTGTTCTGTGTCCTACATTTAAGCTTATAGATTCTGAACACTGTCAGAGAAACTGCCCTGTGGCAGCCCTGGACTGCTGGATGTTTTAGAGAAAGGGAATACACAAGCTGGCAGCATTCCCCAGGGACACTGAGGCGCTGCCTTAGGAGCCTATGGAAACCCTGCTGTATGTATGCACTAAGTGAATATTTAGCAACAAACTTTATCATTAGGTGTGGGAAGGAAAGCCTCCAGGCATGAATGACCTACAGTCAGTTTTGCAATTGCTGCTTTCTTCAGAGCCCATTATTGATTTAATGAAAGTGAAGGATTTTCAGAACCTAAATCCTGCGAGTGGGGTTAAGCTGCTGTCATGGACTTCAGAGGTTTATTATCCAAAAGAGAAAAAGAGAAGTAAAATCTTGCCATTTTTTGGTTGTGTTGTCTACAAAGTTGTAGATTTCTCCTTGCAGTCTCTATTGCTTTTGCAGTAATGAATTGTTCTTTCTCTCAAACAGCTGATGGCTGTGCTGAGCAGGAGCTGCACTTGCTATTGCAGTAATGCTCTTGAGCACAAGTGCTGGGCCCACTTGAAGATAAATGAAGTGGAGTGGAGGTTAGGCTCTCCAAATCTTAGTTTGCACAGCTTAATCAATCAGGTAATGGAGGACAGTTCTAAATTTGCAGAGAGAAAGTTTCAGACCATGTTGAAGATTCTCTTCTTTTGGTATGAAACAAATTACTAGATAGGAGCACACATCATATAATTGATAATACAGATGTGCTCAATTCTTGCTTGTCAGACTTTGTATATTTCCTCTGTTATTCTGTAAAAGCTTTTAAAATTCTTGTTTTGACAGAGTTTTTGATAACTGGATCCTTTCCTACTGAGACTATGTATCTTAATATTTTCTATCAGAAGGTATTTTTGGCATTATTTTCTCAGTATTATTTCATTGCAGGAATTCTGAATGTTTAACTTTATGGATGGAAAGTAGCAAGTAGGTCTTTGCAGAACAAATGTTCTGCCTTGGAACTTATGTGACAAATCCCAACGGGCAAAGAAAAGTATGTAAGCAGACTATAGGTATTGTCTGCTGTCATGCACAAAACAAAATTCAGTACTGTCAAGATATGAGGTTTAGGGACAGTCAGAAGGAAAAAGTACACTTGCTATTTGAGAGAGGCAAAGAAAGGTTTTCTACCACCAGCTGTAGCTTGAAGAATTATGTTCTTCTATTGGTTAGTATCATCTTGCCACAGCTTTTCTATCACTGATGGCTGCTGTCATATTAATGAAGATAACATTTAGAATTGAATTAGTCTGTAATGAACTTCCAGAACAATAGCAGTAAGTAATATAATGTATCTGTTCCTTTAGCCCCAGGACATCTCATACATAATTGGCAACACAAATTATCCAACTTAATTTGATGAACATTACAGATATCTCATTTCCATGATCAGTCCTATTTTCAGGTATGTAGAAAGCTGGATCATGTATTCTCCTCTATTCTATTTTATGATTTTCCACTGATTTTAATGTGAAAATTTCCCTCTTCCTTATGTGAAATATAGTTACTATATTAGGGTATTGCAAAAATAAGCCATAATATTATGTCTCAGAAAACTTGTGTTTGTTCCCTTCTCATTTTCTTTTGTTTATTAAAGACAACAAAAAGAGAAAAGCAAAACATAATCATCAGACTGAAATTACATTTATGTATATGCTTAAAAAAAAATCTACCAACATCATACATAAGGACTAAGTTTAAAAAAAAGGGGAAATTGATGTGGGACATGAAAATAACATTTCAGAATGCTATTGCTCAGACGCACTATAATTGTTTTTGAAGTAAAAATATTAAACTCTAAAATTTAAAGTGACATTTTGGGGAATGTTATGGATGAATAAACTTAAACTCTTCAAGAACAACCAGGCAAAGTGACTTACCAGATTTTGCTGACAAAGCCAATAAAATTGCTGGAATTTCTGAGACATGAGGAGCTGAGCACTTCCAACAGCACTTCGGATCTTACCTAGGACTAAGCATACAGATGGATTACTACTAATAAAAGTTTTTTGGCAGCGAATACAATATCCATCTCAAAAAAAATGCAGGTGAAGTTCCTGGTTATTTTAAAATGGAAGTAAATATTTGGTTTTGTTGTTTGTGATTATACACATGAAGAGTGAAGTATAGGAAAACTCAGTAGCACCTTGCATTTTGGGATGATGAATGAATAATAAATGATATATTAATAAGTAAAAACAGCTTAGACTTTATTTGCTTAAGGAAGTAGAAAAAACTAAGGGACTATATTCAGCTTTCTGAAGTGGGCATCCATCAATCCATATGATTTTGAAAACACTCTTAAATTTCAATGTAAATGACACTTCTCCCATTTACATTTGATCATGTAAATGGAGAGCTGTTGAAATTGTCTTGCCTCAAGAACCAGTTGGATGTCTGTTCCTTCTGATGTCAAAGACATGTGTACCTTAAATTATACCTTCTGGTTCTGTGACTGCAAATTACTTCACTCACTGTGCTTGTGTGGGTCATCCCTGGGTGAGATCTCTTTATCTGTTCTGAGGGTAAAGTTACTACATTCAACTGTAATATAACATATTCCTACCATAAGGATTAAATCCTCACAGAATTACATCTCTGAGACGTGTTTGGTACACCCTTTAGGAATTACAGGTTGTCTGCCCAGGAAAATATACAAAGTCCTCAGCACAGGAGCTTCAGACAAAGTGGGACACAAACAGGTGCTCCAGGACTTTGCTGAACCAGCATCAGCCCCTGTGGATGTGTTAGCATTTCCTCACTGTCCATGTACATGTCCGTACATTATGCACTGGGGAAAATGACCAAACTCATTGTATTTTGTTTCCAAATGACCAAACTCATTGCCTTTGTTTCCAAGAGTCATCTGTCTAAATTAAATTTTTTTGAATGCTTTATAATCAGTGATCTGTGTTCAGCAGCTCAGCCATGTTAGGCACTTTTAGATGAGCTAAATTTCCTCCTGGAGATGTCTCTGTTCTTCTATTCACAGTACTACCTAAGGGGATTGACTTATCTCTGAGAAACTAACTCATCCTGACTTCCACATCTGCTGGGACAAATGCCACACTCTGGTAGGTGGCATCATGCTTTTCTATACCTTCCTACATACCCTTTCCTACAGTTCCTTTCCTCCAGATCCATCTCTAGGATTCAAAAAAAAAAAAAAATTTTAAAAAGCATTATAAACTGTGGTCTCAGTAAAAAATTTATTTCAGCAGGAGAATTTCCAGATCTTTAAATAATGTTAAAGATATAGAGAGGTGGGGTAAATGTAGACAGGAATTACTCTGATATATTTTACTTCAATTTGGAGAAACCAAGTTTGATAATTCAAACAGGTTGTTAAGTGTAAGTGTGGAATAAAGCTGATACAGCACAACTGATCTGCAGCCCCTGGTATAGGAAACATTAGAATGTTGCAGGGCTTATAATTTTGTTGTTATTTAGAATAAGTACAGGAGAGCATGTGAAAACAGTATTTTGGTAGTAGATTTTACATTTTAATTCTACTTTCTTTAGACCAGTGAAACATCTGCTCGCCTAAAAGTAGTAGCAAGAGATAATTTGAAAATTTTGTTCTCTAGTTAAAGTCTCAGTAACTTTCAAGGCATGTGCTAATATGTAGAGCTGTGGTTCTCAAACTCTATTCCATTTTCTGATAGGCAACCAGTACAGCTGTACCACAACACTAAATTAAACAGAAATATACATAATTCATCAGTCCTGTGTGACATCCATTGTAGAAGGGTTAAGTGGTTCAGGGCTGCATGAGTAATACACTGAGGTTTGTTTTTGTTCTGTTGGCCAAATGAAATAAATCATTTTAATTGGTTTGGGGTTTTTGATCATCAAACCCCTCACTTTCCTCTACAGTGCTATTGGCATACAGGAAGGAATATTTGAGTGTTAAAACCTGAACAAGCATACAAAAACTTAAATAAAAAATAAATGTTTCATTTGATCTGACACAAATTGCTTTAATTCGGTTTTCAACATTTTTAATAAAGGCAATGACTTTAGTGACAAACAGCCTTGTATCCTCCTTTTTATCTCTTGGTGATCTGTAGCTTAGGACATTAGACAAACTCCTAGTGTGGGGTCAGAGGTGCTCCTTTTCCAGGATGAGGAATTATGCTGCAGCAGGTCCCTGACATCACCTATTCCATGCTATGTTCAATGATTCACTGGGCAAAAAGAGTGAGGTTGATTCCACGGGCTGATGGTTATTATGGTTGTCTCTAGTGAATGAAGTTCAATTTTAGTTTCCTCTGCTGAATTTTACAGTTCATAGCTCAAACACATAGTCTAAGTAAGGGGCACTGGTTTTAGCTCTTCTGCAGAAATATAGATCCTGAAAGAATCTATAGATGTCTGATATTTTCTAGTGAACCTCAGCTACCCAAACCCTCATTCTAAATAAACATTAATTTTATCTTCATTGTCATAAAGCATCATGTCCACAAGCATTAGTGATTTAAAGCCCAGTCAGACTGGTCAAGATTTAGGCACTGGCAATGTAGAATTTTGGTGGGATACACATTTGTCAGGGATATAAGGCTGTGATGGTTGCATGTGCCATTGAGTCACAGTGCTGAATACACATGTATCATTACAGCCCTAGAATTTACTAAAGATCTAACTCTATTTCCATTTTAATAAGTAAATCAGATGTAATAAAACATAGAGGTTAGAATCACTCATATTCATGCTACTCTGCCTTGCTGTAATTAAATTAAAGTATTAAAACACTTCAACTCATAATCTTTAGCACAATATTAATAGACATCCAAAGCCTTGTTATTAATTTCATGCATTGGGGAATTATTCTGATGAGTGCAGATTGATTATCTCCATGAAAAAATGATGAATGTTAGAGACTGAAGGGATCGAGATGTTTGGTGATGACTAGAAGATTTTTCTTGTAAATAAATGATGATAGAATCTACCAATACACATAAATAGACAAAATATTTATATAATCCTTAAACCTCCTTGCATGAGGATAATTTTGTATTTGCCCAAATGTCAGGAAACAGTCAAACAACCTTAATTTTCCTCCCTTAGGCATATGAAGCACTCAATTTTTTTTTGGATGGTCCTGTATGACTTTAGCTCTGAAGACATACAAAACCCTGACCATGACTTCAGTAAGAGTAGGCTCAGGATTTACACCCTGATTAGAGATTGTGTCAATTGCACAATTAACACAATGGTGTCTTTTCCCTGTATGTGTGGAATTGCTTGAGAAATTCTAGAAAACCTTGTAATCAAAAATGATTTCATATCACAAAAGTAGAGAGGGAAAAGTTAGATCTGTATTGATGAAATTGATTATAATCTGATGCTGTAATTCTGATCTTGACAGGTTAAAAGCTTTGTTCAATTGTGCCACTGCTGCACCAGCAGTGAAAAACTGCTAACAATCAATCTGCTTCTGGCATTCATTATTGTCTATTTAAGTGACATATTTTAATTTAAATTTTCATTCCATTTCATCTTTTCATTCCCTCCTATATTTGTAAACAAATTACTGCACAATCTGAAATAATATGCCTGGAAAAATATTAAAACTGGCATTTAGTTCACTCTCCTAACTCGAAGTAGGGCATGATATTTGTCTAATCTCTGAACTTAAATTAGTAAACTTTAGAAATATAATTTTACTATTAACAGAGCATCTAGAGACAAAAATAAATATATAATGTTCAGAATGGCATTTTAGGACAGCTCAGCCCCCATCTGGCAGTGCTCTGGAGGGTAATGGGACCCTTGTTCACTAACCTGGACACTGCAAATTTGGTTTTTTACCTCAACAAAGCTAAGTTCAAAAAGAAGAAAATTTCAGCAGAACAATAAAAATGCTGTGAGGAATTATTGGATGCCACATGTGGGACTTTACAGACTGTTTCAGTACAGTTGACATTCCTTAGTCATTCACAACACTCCAACTGGAAATTTCAATATCTCCTGAAGCATAGGTTTGTGAAAAGCATTAGAAAATGATGTCAGTAATTTCTCTTTGGTTAAAGGATAACCTATATTTGGTCAAACACCTAAGAAAGCTTTTATGGATAATTAATTCATGAATATACTAAAATCAATTGGCTGTGAGGTTTTCTTGTTGATTTTTATTCATCTAAAATTACGGGAGATTTTACTCTGTTTTCTATTACTATTCAGTCCTATTAGTACTGTGAAAATATCAGCTAGAGGATTAGCAAGGAATGGTCCAGTATCCATGAAATTAAGTGGAATGGGAGAGAGAGGTGATGCTTTGAGCTCCCACTCTAATATCTTTGTTTTCTTTCCCCAGTAGAGATCAGTTTACTGCTATGCCAGCAGAACTGCTAACCACAATGCAGGAGATACCAACAAAACAACATTTCTGCTGGCATAGTTTACCCTGTAGTTAACTTTTGCACCTATCTAAGGATTTTTATGTGAGAGTAAACTCTGTGGATCTGTTCCCCATAATGAAGTTCTCAGCTGGCCAAGCAGGTGGCACCAAGAAACCCAGGGTTGTCCTCTTTCCCCTGCCAAGCCCTGCCTGCAAGCTGTGGGCAGGGACTGAGGTTCCCTGCTCTGCTCTGCTCTCCCTGCTCCCATCACTGTGCTCATGGGATGCAGAGTCCTGACCCTCTTGGTCTTCAACAGCTTTGTGACACTTGAAATTGTTTTCCTTGTCAACACCTACACACTAATAGCCAAACACAATTTTCAGGGTGTAAAACTGAAACTCCAGTCAGCACCCATGAGAAACACATATCTTTGCCTGGAGGCACCCTGTGAGTGCAAGTGACCAGATGTCTAACCCTGGGAACTGTTACAAACACATATCTATAGTTTTTCCATATAATGAACACACACACACACACATATATAAATAAACAGAGCACAAATAACTGCTTCCACATATGTAATTAGTTCTTACAGATATGTAAGAACTTTGCAGAGACTTCAAAATAAAACTCATGGCAACTGACCAAATTTTTAAAAAAAAAAAAAAGCTCTGAAAAAAGAAGAGAGTTATTTTTGTTGCAATGATTATCTCTTTTTTCTAAGACCTGATGAGTGAAGTTCTTAAAACAATATTATGGAAGAAAAGGTTCAGTGAAAGAAAAAATCAATATAGCAATCAGACAATCAGACAGCTTTTGGTGATCTCAAGGATGCTGTGTTAACACCAAAACTGAAATTGTTTTCTAAAATGCAGTTCTATTTTAACTGTTCCCATGTTTAAAACAAAATAGAAGTGGTATCATAAAGACAGCCTTCTCCTATGAGATGCAAAGCTATATTCGGTCTTCACGTACAATTAATATATCCAGGCCAAAAAGAAATGATTCGGCATTAAGAATGACAGTTTGAATGTGCAAACATTGCTGTGAAGTGTTTTGGGAATAGTAGTCTTGCTGGAAGATGGAAAACCATATTTATTTGCTTTTGGCTCAGCCATTTCTGTTTATTTTCTTCAAGAACTGGCAAATGTTTAAATATGTCAAGCTACATTTCATGCTGTGATGTTATTAGATTCAAGTTCTTGAGGATGCACACCTTACAACCTCTGCAGCTCAGACTGGGGATACAAAATGTCTTAAGGAACCAACAGGAAAAAAATTATTCACACAGAGTTTTTAGAATGCTATGAAGATCATTCCCCTGCTGAAATTAATTCTTTGAAAACTTCCTTTTACTTAATGTGCTATTAGATGAAGGGATACAATTTAAAAATAATGTAATTTGGAAAATATTTCAGGAAGAGCTCTTGAAATGAGTTACATACTATAAAAAGCCAGAACTTTAGACAGTCAGCTGAACACAAATTCTGACCTTGCAAACACTTTGTAGATTTATTCTATAACTTCTTTAGCCTATTAGGGAGGTCAAAAAGTTCCCCCAAGAACAAGTATTTAACCCAATTTTGTGAGTTTAAAAAAAGAGACTTCAAGGATTTCACTTGAATTTTATCAACTCCGTTATCAGGGAATTACTCTTTCTTTTCCTCTTCCAAATTCAAGTCCTTCTTCAAACAGGGAAACAAAATCCTGATTCTATGTTTTGTTTTTTGACTGAAATATTCCAAGTTAGTGTCATTAACTCCTAAGATTAATAAGGAATTACTGAAGTCCCTATTGTCATTTCCTATGTACTATTTATAGAAAACTACCTTCTTGATTGCCATTTCACCATGCAGTAAGCTGTTCCAGAGTACATCTGGAGTGCAAAAGTATAGGTTAACATGATGGGAAGGAGAATTGTTCTGCATCAGAGAACAGGTAGTCAGCTAAAGTCAGCTCATCCAAGTTTTCCTCATGTGGTACCCAGTTTCATATTCCAAAGAGTAACAGCTCTAGCTGCCTCTCCACATCTCTGAGTGGGGAAGGGGTGTGGATGTGAGCGTGTTTCCATTGCTCGTTTCATATGGGGGCTGCAGATCTGACTGGGGCTGTGCAAAAGGAAGAGCTTACAAAGAGAGGAGGCAGGAGAAGTCCAGCTCTTTCCTGAAGACTCCTTGCTAGGAAAGAGAGGAGCTAACGACCTGTGTGTTTCTCCCCTTTGCTCCCCAAATAATCCTACTCTTTCAAAGGAGATCAAAGTCTTGCTCTTTGAACTTCTGCTTCAGACTGAGAACACTGATGTTCCTACATCAGTAACAGGTGGTCTGAGAAGCAGGTGCTTTGGGATTCTTAATAATGACACTGAAATGTCAGTATTCAGCAAAGACTTGAAGAATTGAAAAATAGGACACATGCAAAAAAAAAGAAGTACTGAGGAATAACCATTATGAAAGGCTTGGAAAATCTTTCACAGGCTAATCCAAGGAAAATATGTTGTTATTTAACAGTCCCTAGAAGGGTATTAAAGTCGTCATAGTATCAATGGAAGGAGAAAATTCTGAGCTTTGCTTTGCCATGTTTAAAATAAGGATAAAACCCACAGTCCATAAAGCACCAGAGGCTGAAGAAAGGAAAACCAGCCTTACTCACAGCCCCACCCCAAATCCTCTGTTGTTACTCAGGAGACTTGTGCACAACACAGCAGAGAAATATGATTGTAAAACAAACAAAAAAAAGATGACGTAAAAACATAGACATTTTTTCCTTTGAAAAGGTCAGTGCAAGAAATAGAATTTGGCCTTTTAGTCACCATGCTGGCCTGGCTCAAGACCTGAGGGTACATCACAGTAAGAACTCGTTGAGAGAGAAACAAGACGATCAGGAAACAGTACTCAGAGGTGATGGTGAAATTTGTAAGAGTGCAGGGAAAGATACTAGTAAGAAAAATTAATATGAATTCATTTTTGGTCTGAGAAAATCTCAGCTGAGACAATAATTCAGATTGTCAGGGATTGAAATATTTATAAAACTGAGCCTGAAGAACAAGGATAATTGACCTCAAAGGGAATCACAGGGAGCTGGCTACTGAGTCCTAGGACCACTTTGATATATTATTATCATTAGCGCTGTCTTGGATCTTGTTCCAAAATAGTCTACATTATTTTTCACTTTATCCCATCACTCCTTTCAAGGTGTCCACAGGACATGAGAGAATAATAATGATTCTTGACAAAATTGTAATGAGAAAATGCAGCTGAAATTTCTAACAATGCATATGCCTGTCTAACTGCAGAAGTACTTTAACTGCTCCTGCCTGCTACACTTTCTGTTCTTCCAACAGGCTGAAGTGCCTGTAAAGAAATGGAAACATTTTTAAAATGGCTTCTCACTAAGAGGCAAAATCGCAGGTTTCAGGAAAAGGACAAAACAAGGTTCATGTAAGACTACTCTGTGTGCTCTGGCAAAGGGTCAAGCACTGGAGCCATAGAAGTGAATGGGAAGAATGTGTCAAATTTGGAGCCGTGGATGGAGCTATTGCACCATCTGAGCTCTATGTAATACCAGACTTTGATCCTGCACTGGACTCTAGAGTTGGTTCTTTAACTAGTTCCACAAAACCTTACTCTGGGAAGCACCATCTTGTGCAGCCAGCCACAGGACGTTGTTCTTGTATTATGGTTGTTAGCTCCTACAGAATGAGTGACTACAAACCACAACTCACAGCTTTATCCTAACAGATTTCATATTTTAGTAATCATCTGTATACTGAAAATATACTGAAATGTTCTTACTTTCTTCAGAAAGATCATTTTCTTCTGCTTCTCTTTCCATTTCTTTGCACCATCCTTCCATTCTCTTAGTCTCGGTGTGCAGTAACTTCATAAACCAAGATCCGTCACGCCGACAAGGAGACATTCGGCCGGTCTCGACTGTCTCGATGGCTGGCTCCAGCCAGGGCTCTGGTGGTGGAAGGTTTGAGGTGTCAACTGGGGTCCTGTAATCTTCTCTGTAGCTGAACAGTCCCTGTGTCCGTACAGTTCTCACTGCACTATATTGGGTGGGTGTGCTGGGCTCTGAGTGCTGCTGGAATGATGAGCCAAATTGAAGTCCCTTATCTTCCATGGTGATGTGTCCTGGAAAACCCTCCAGTTCCAGGTCAGCCTGCACAGCTGCTGTTACACTGTTCGAGCGCTTGAATCGTCCGTGTCTTGGTGAAGAGGGAAAAAAGAAAAGATATTAAGATATATAAATAATGTATGTGATGGTACAGAGAGACAGAATAATGTTTCAGTGAGAAGGAATGGATTCTGTTCTTCTCGTTGGACTTTATGTTAAACATCTTTTCTTTGTGTATATCTCACTAAAATTAGATGGTGAGTAGCAACAGAGGGGAAAAACAAAATGCATACTGGAATCATTGATCTAAGCAAGGATACAAAGGAAAATTATTTAAATTGTCTCTGTAAGCAAATATTGATTTGTTCTCATACTACAAAATAACACGTTCATTACTAAATAAACTGGAAATAACTACCAGAACTAGAACTTCCTGATAGAAGTCTGTAAAGTAATATATAAAAAAATTTCCAATGTTCAGAATTTTAAGTAGAAAGATCTGAAAATCTGCTCAGTTAGAACTTTTGAGAATCCCATAATAAAAGAAAGATAACATCAGTACGTTTAAGACTGTGGGTAGGAGTTTTTTTGGTCTTATAGGGTGCCCATTAAAAGTTGATTATCCACTGTTATGTAACACTGAATAATGACATTTTAGAAAAGCTTTATGTTAAAATATTAGACAGAGAAACAAAGATTATTTGTGAAATCTTTTGACATTGGAGTCCATTGTCTCAGATTATTTGTAGTTCGTGATGGCAAAAGGCAATTAGCAGCCAGATACTCTCAGACAGCTGCTGTGAAATGAGATTATGGTACTGGTCCAGTACTTGACAAACAGTACCTACCAGGCTTAACCTCTGAGTCAGTACATGGGCCAGCAAGTTTACAAATTTAGAGAAGGACTGAACAAATCAGAAAGCTGATTCTATTTTAGAATAAAGGTTTCATCCTAAGAACTTTGTCTCCTTTTGTGGACTGGGAAAGCCTGGATCAGCATGAGGAGTCCTGTTGAAGGAAGACTGTTCCAATATGTAGCTCTTAGGTTTTGTTCTGACAATAATGAAATTATATTAAACCACTGTTTCAATTTAATACTTTAACTTCTTTCCCTTCAATTAAAAACTGGAAAGTTAGATAAATGTGAAGCAACTGCTAAGTAATCTCCACAAATGTTACCAATTGATAAACATGCATATAAGAAATTTGGCTTCAGGGATTATTTAGTGGCAGCACCTGTCAGGTGTTGTTTATTAAATCTGTTTACAAATGCATGTTGTGCTATGAAAGACTACAGATTTTTGAACATGCTTAAATTACCGTTTTTCATCTTCCACTTGAATTCCAACAGAATGATATTCCCGTAGGCCTCTGCTTTCAGTATCTGAATCAGTTGCTGTTTCCACCTAATTCAACACAAAAGATACATCTGCAGAGTGAGCATTGACAACTCAGCACAATTTTTCACACACTCATTCAAAATTAATTATACATTTCATCTCTTACTGCTAAGAAACACCTAGCACAGTCAAATAAATGCCATAGGTATTCAGCCTGGTATTATTGTTTTGGTACTGTATCTTATTAAAGTTTTGCACAAATACTTTTGCTATGTAATTCCCTATTTCAAATTTCAATCCCTTCCCAAGCAGAAGCAATTACTCAGTTTGGTGGGATCAGGGAGTAAGCTTGGTCTGGAAGGGCTGTTCTTAGAATGAGGAATCCACAGGGTAACCCCATTTTATATTAGTATAAACCAGTCTCATTATAGTCCTTGATTTACAAAATAAAATAAAGTCTGAAGTAGCCCCATAAGCTTGCAAGTTGTAAAAAGAAATGGAGCAATGAAATTTTATTGACAACTATGTTGACAAATATAAAACCATTAAATGATGTGAGGGATACAGCAGAATGCCCTATTTCACCTTTTTTAAATAACACAGTCCTGAAAATGCTGCATCAAGCAGGCAATTTATGCATTTTTTATAGCATTCCCATCTGAAATACACTTACCAAAATATATTCACAGTAGTTTCTTTCAAGACTGAGACTTGCGTTTGCAAGTTTCTGTGGGATTTTATATAGCACTCCCCACCACCACACTGCCCCCAAGTCTTTGACACAGACAGAGCAAGTGCTGCAGTATGCAAATTATACTGAATCAAGGGAGAGGCAGGAAAAAAAGAAAAAGAGTAAAACTGACTTTTCCTTTTGAATAATATTTTCACTGTTAAATAAAAAAAATTATCAACCGGTTTTCTATATGCACACTCCATGTGTGAATTCAAAGAATATATCTGTTGATAAAGATAAGAAAAGTTTTACGCTTGCAGCAGTCATCGGCTTCTCTGGAAAGAGCCTGATGGTCTTTGCAGCTGTGTCTCAGCTGCACAGTCCCAACCCACCTGGCTTCTGAAGGGATCCAGGGACAGGGTGGGAGGAGGGTGGGAAACGAATGCATATGTGGACTATACTTCTTGAGGAAGAGAGTTGCTGGTAACTTCTCCTTCCATCTTTAAGCTGTAGCTCAGCTTGCAGTCACATGTAGGTGAATGGAAGGGAACTCCAGCCAGCAATGAATACACATTCATATTTACATGTGTGTAAGTCTTGGAGATGTCAATGAAACAGCTGGTGCAGGAATCCTCTAATAAATGTTAATGGCATGCTTGAACTGCACAGTATAGCACCAATCACAGGTGTGCTAAAATGTCTGGCTACCAGTGTGACAACAGTCCAGGAAAGACACATTTCCCATCAATTCCCTTTATTCTACATAAGGCCTAGGGGACAGTGCATGCTGCCTGGAAGTGCAAGTGCATGGAAGCTTGCTGTGTTCATTTGGATGGGCAGCACATTGAGAGAACTAATATATCAGACTTGGTAACAGAATGTGGTGTTGTCAGTACAAAAAGAAAGATTCCTCTTGACACTGGCAGTAAAAAAAAACCCTCAACCCCAGAGCTTGGAGAAAAAAAGCCAGAACAACCAACTGAAATGATAGGTAAATTGGTTTCCTAGTTAAGGTGGATCCTGGCTGCAACATGGGTGAGAAGCCTCAGCTGCTTGGGGTGTCATAATCTCTGAAAGAACATTACTCTGTGCAAAGCAGCCATGAGGTCCAGCTGTTACCCCAAAGAGATGACTATCAGGAAATGCAGATTTATCTATAGCAAAGAAGGGTCTAAAAGAGCCCTAAATAACAAATTCTAGTCTAACTGAGGGACTAGGCACTCAGCTAGTCCTTTCAGTGATTTGAGGAAAGCTGCATATAAAACACATTAATTTCCTGAATTAACTGGGCAAAGAATGAGATACTCATGTAAGCTGTTGTGGGGAGCAGAGAGGCAAGTCACACTCGCAGCTTTGACTCCTGCAATGAGACCTCAGTCATGCCTGGACAGGTTTTGAAGAGTGAACTCATTCTCAGGTGTAGAGGAGATGATTGAGAGGGGACATTATAAATCTCTACAGGTATCTGAAGGGAGGATATCAAAATAATATTTCCCAGCTTTTCTCAGTGGTGCCAAGCAATAAGAATGGGCAGAAACTGAATGCCAGGAAGAACTCCTTTACAGCGTGAGTGACCAAGCACTGGAACAGACTGCTCAGAGAAGCTGTGGCATCTCCTTCCCTGGGGATGTTCAAGAACCATCTGGATACACTCCTGTGCAGTGTGCCCTGGGGTCACCCTGCTTTAGTGGGAGGTTGGACCAGATGACCCAGTGTGCTCTCTTCCAACCTGACCTGCTCTGTGACTGTGGAGTGAATAAGAGCAGATAACACAAAATGCTTAGACTGTGGCTCCTGGTTGCACCTGTAGGAGTGCTAGCAGGGAGATGATGTTGGAGGTGGGGAAACATTTTCTGGAGGATGTTGTTTGATGTTAAAATCCATAACAACAATTGGAGTGATGAGGAAGTCTAAACTGTTGCTAAGAGCGGTGGTACTGGGGTTCATCCCAAAGCAACCAGTCAGTCTGAGTTAAATCACAAAATCTAGAAACAGATTGCTCAGAGAAGTTGTGCATACCTTATCCCTGGAAGTGTGTTTGAGGCCAACTTGGATGGAACCCTGAGGTCCCTGGTCTAGTGGAAGATGTTCTTGCCCATGAAAAGGGGCTGTAACTAGATCTTTAAAGTCTCTTCCAATCCAAATTATTCCATAATTCAATTCTATTTTATTATTCTGTTGGACTCGGTCCAAAGGAAAAGACCTTAGTAATTTCTCATTACTTCCACTTGTTAATCAAGTTCCTTGAACATGTTCAACTGAACTGCAGCTGTGGATAATGGTGTCGATGATGTAGACACAGGAAGGTTTGACAAGGGAAAAGAGTTTTGTGGGTGACCAGATTGAAGCAGTTGAGCAGGTGGGAGCAAAGGGTCTATCAGGGCCTTCTGCTCACTCACATGGCTCAGCACAGAAGGACAGGACATTGCAGCCAGTTCAGACGTGAGACAAAGCCAGAGAGATGAAGCCAAGCTGACATCTCCTCACAGGTCAGTCTTTGCCTTCAGCCCATTCCAAAGAACTGCACTTCCTTCAAAGAGTGATATCCTTAGGATAACCGTTCCTGAACACAGAAATAGGGTAAGGAGGGTCAAGGGTATCATAGTTGTGGGGGCAACATACAGCTTGTAACACTGGGGGTGAGCAGCAGCCAATGGACAGAGAATAGATTTTAGCTTTCCATGGAGTTGGCTCAGCAGCTCAGAGGTAATGTTGTTGGAAACATGATGATCCAAATACATAAACAAGGAAAGGCCCCTACAGAGAATATCAATTGGTCCATCAATTTTTTCTGGAACAAAGCAGGTAGACTTGCAACACACACCCCTCTTCATTATTGCATATCAAAAACATACCTGTTTTCGTCAGCTACATTGTTTGGTTTAGTGAGAAATAGCAGGTCTTCTTTTGAACTCTGCTTCTGATATGTGGAGGCAGATTCATCTTTTACCTTTATTTGGAACAGGTTGGTATCTTTCTATTGATGCAACACATCGAGAAAAAGCTTTTATTGGTCTGTTTTCAAGTATTTACTTAGTGGCATTTCACCTGGAGATATAATCCTGAGTAGTTTACCCAATATGCAATTGATACCTAGAATTCACAGGCACAAATGAAGTAATACGCTCTAAAATTTTATTAGAAAAAATTATCAGAAAAATCATGATCCAGGTGTCAAAATTAAAATTATATTACATATCTCTAGATATAAAGTCTTGCCAAATTGTCCTTCCCTCCAGCTTGCCAAGACTGACACTAAATAAACGACCTGATGATTGCCTTGATATTTTAATGCTTTCATTTTCTCACTATGCCTTGTAACAGAAGGAGAATGCCAGTTTTTTGTGTGTCTGTGTGCGTGTGCAGGCAAAATCTAGCATTGCAAATATTGTAAAAACTGGCAAAATGTAAAATGGAGGCAAATACCAAGACAAGCAAAAGTGGAAAGTAAGACAGTAATTTGCAATCATAAAGAAAAAATATGAACAAATAAATTGCATTGCTGTATGACAGATATTATAAAGACTCCTGCTAGAAAACAGCAGGAAACTCTTTCATCTGATTGGCCAGGCTAAACTCAAATGAGCTGAGGATAAAAGTAATACATTTGGTTTGATTGTGTGACTCTTGAAACTCAAATAACTTTCACTAAATCTGTTATTATAGTCCTTGATTCATTATTGTTTTAATATTTACCTGGGTTATAAAACCCTTTATATTTTCAAATTGGCCCACAGTCTCAGTAAAGCAAACAATGTGAAGAATTTTATCTTTATCTGCTTTTGATGGAATCTCACACAAAAGAGGAAAGAAAAAATAGGCAGTCATATCAAAAGCAGAAGAAAGGAGTAGATCTCAGAGAGTAAATCAGCTTCCTCTCTCATTGCCAAAAAAAGAACAAAAGTCTCTTAAAATTGGCATTTTGTCTTAAACATCAGCACTGCAACTGCAATAACATTGCAGCATCCTAAAAATTCCAGTCAAAACTTCTATGCATACTGTCTCAAAGGTAGACTTGAAGTTAATATATTCTATGCATAAGAAAACAGATTTTAACCTGTTGGCTTTTGCTTCACTCTCATAAGCATTAGCAGTAAGAGTCCTTCAGGCCACATTATCTCTCCCCATGCGACGTCGCTGCCCTCAATGGGTTTTCACTGCTGTAACCAATTTATTCTATAATTAGAGTTTAATAAACAATCTCTCTGATGATGTACAGGAAGGGAAATAATTCACCCTTCCTCTCTTGCATAGACTTCTCCGTGATAACAAGACTAAAACAGAGTAGAAAACACTACTTTTGACACTAGATCAAGTACAAGTAATTGTGAATTTAGATAACCACTCTTAGGTATGGGGTGACCTTATTTGTATGCAGTGACTTCAAAGTAGGAAAACACTTCAAATAAAACTACAGTACTAATAGCTATTGCTTTCCTTAACTGATGGAAGATTTTAACCAGCTAAAAACATAAATTCTTTCAAAATAATTTTTAGAAAACCAGCAAAATAAACCTCTACTTTAATGCTTGTGAGATTTTTTTTGTCTCACCACGGAGCTCCATTTTGCCACTCTGTTACTTCCCAGCTGAACATCTGGACTACTCAAATATGTGGCATGGCACAGTAACTGCTAATTATCAAAAGAAGCAGCTTGAAAACTTCCTCTGATCTTTTAAGAAAGGACTTTTTACTAAAAATAAGCCAGAGTTTAGAAATGGGATTTATGTCAGGCTTATATGAGATTCTAGCAAGAGAATAATGTACACAGTAGAGGTCACTGATAACTTTTTTTGGTACATTTAATGCTAAGCGGCAAATTGCTCTGAACCAACAAATATTCACTGACTTCTCCAGGCAAAGGACTTCATACACTCCTCTCACAAAAGCATAGTCTAACAGACATTTTAGAGGAGAATAAACAGTACCTCTGTAGCTTTGGATCATTTATGATCCAAACACTTATAATCAATGCAAATATTTATTGTGACTGCTGTGTATACACTGAAGCAGATCACTGACAAAGATGGTATAACCTAAACTGTACAAAGAAAATGTAGGTGCCTATCTAAGTACATGTAGCCACGGGTACAAAATGCTTTGTGTTAAAAGGGAATTCTAGTTTGAGAGTGCAGAATGTCATGAACAATGTTTTTACTATGTGACATGAATAATATATATATATATATATATATATATATATATATGCACACACAAACATATATATAAATAAATTATGCAGAAGATCTCCTTTTGTTACAAAAAACTTAGGCAAGGAAGCTATTGCATTAATCTCCCTGGATATAGCCTTTAATTTATAAGAAGGATTTGTTCAATGTAGATTCTGGAGATTACAAAAAACCCACTAAGTATTTTGAAGTGTGATCTTCTGATGATAAATGAAGATGACTGAGTCCATTCTCTATGCTACAATTAAGGCTTGTCTCCAAAAATATGACCGTGAATCAGCCTTCGTACTTAGAATATTTGTTTCCATCTCATTTATTTCCAGGGTTTCTCTTCAATTTGAAAAGCCTTGATGTCTTTTAAATAGAGAAGAAACAAAGGACTGCATGTTTTGAAGATTTGAAATAAATAGGAGGAATTCCTTGACATGTTTTCTCATATATTTCACATTCACAATGCTTTTAATATGAAATGGTTTGTAAGTAGAGCAGATTTGAAATGTTAATCGTTAGCATATATACCAGGGTGTGCAAAAGAGCAAGGAAAATCCTGGAAAATATCTTAGCAACAACCTTGTTCTGATTTAGTGCTTATTTTACTCTTGACAATCTCTACTCTCCATTTTAATTCACATACTTTGATTAGTCTTTTGCTGTCATGACAGAAGACAGATAGGAAGTTTAGAGCTACTAGTATCAGAAGAGTCTTGTTCTTTTTATATCCACATATTCTTTCAATTGATGAATAAATTTTTAATCTCAAAATCAGTATTTTGAAATGAATCTGAATTTACAAGTCAGCAATTTTTCCCAGTGCCTATTGACATGCCTGACAATATTTGTCGATTTAAATATGACAGTGGAAAAAATAAAACACAAAAAAACCTCCAAAACCCCAAAGCCCCCAGCTATTTTCTGAAAAAGCTTCATTTAAAATCTTTTATTTTTCTGTTCAAAATCCCATCTGGGATAGAGCTAACACACTGTGAGATGGATCAGTGTATCTGTGCTGTTCCCTGTCTCTGCAGACAGGTGTTACAGATGTATGGCAACTCCAGTGCTTCTCCAGGAGCTCAGGCTCTCTGTGCTTGAGAATACCAACCCCACTGGCACATTCCTAGCATGCCAGGCTTTTCAAAAGGACTCCTATTCACTACATGTACACTGCACAAATCATCTATTTCAAAGCAGCCCTAGGCTGGGTCCATTGTGTTTCCACTTGCAGTGGCACTGCTGGTCACTCTGTACCTTTGTTCCTCTCTGCTCCTGTATGAAGCTCTCTTGGCAAACATTCTCCCAGCAATGTGTTAAAGGAGTGGAACAGTAAAAAATGAACAAATTAGCCATCCTGATAGCAAATTAACTAATGCAAATAAATGCAAATTCAATGCATTACCCTGGCATGGCATGCTGATGAGAAAACAAGTCATTTAGTCAATCAAGGAAATATGCAAATAAAAAACATCCTTTTCCAAGGTACTTTGACACAGAAGTCTAAAAGAAATTAAATACTGCAACTGTACTTTGAGTATACAAATTACTAGTTGTGTAGTTTGCAATAAGAACATTCTACCTTGTGGGGTTTTTTCTGTTCAAACTTGGCAATAGCAATATAACAAAATGCATTTCCTATTCAAAAATACTGCAGAAATGTATTTTTCTCACTAATGTGATGTTTGAAGCTTAATGCTGAAAAAAAACCCAAACAACTAAAATGTGCTCAGCATACTGCTGAAAATTCAACATCATCTAATGTCAAATGGTACAACAAAGCAATTCGTATTTCTTGAAAGATAATAAACAGCTCGCCCTTCTAAAACTTGCTGTTGCAAACAACATTTGCCTTTCTCCATGTGTGCATCTGAGGACCACTGTTACAGTCCAAGTGTCAGATGGCAAGCTGCTATGGAAGAGCTGCTACCCCCAAGCAAACAGGTGTTTTTGTGGATAATAAGCACATATGATTAAACACAGCACATATGAAGAATGGTCAAGGCCGAGTGAAAAGTACTGGTTGTCACTTGTGGTAATAAACAGGATCAAGTGATGTAATCAAAGTTCCAGAATTAATTGCTGGAATATCAAGACTGACCAAATCAAGACTCCAACATTGATAAATATCACCATGCACAGCTGCTGTAAAGGAGAGATAAGAACAACACTTGATACTATTCCTTTCTGAATAGTAAGTTTCAGGTTAGGAGCTAAAAGGTGCCAAAGATTTCTTTGCTGCTCCTTTGAACTTTTCAGTGTTATCTCCCAAGCTACTTCTCTGAACAATTTAAGATACACTAATTACTTTGTAAAACATTTGAAAAGTAGGCATCTGACTATTTTGCCATGGTTGTTAAATTGAATTCTACTTTTCTGCATCCAAAGAATCAGAATGAAATACTTTTTTGTCAAGGAAATGGACAAACAGCTTTCTGGCAAAGCCGATTCCTTCCCATTAGTCTAATGCATTATGGAACAGCAAAATTACAGCATGCTAAAATGTTAACCTGTAAAGTTCAATCAGCAGCTGTGATAGGCTTAACCCAAACACTTTTCTGTGATTATATTATAAAATTAATGGAAATGCAATTACTACTTTTTAAAGAAAATCACATACTTTCTTTTATATTCTTGTATATTTCTAATATACAGCCACTCACTGGGCGTTTTTACACGGATGATTACCTTCTCAAAATCTGTGTTGCTGTCTCCACAATACCTATGTCAAAATAAATGTCAGCTTCTCTGTAGCTAATCTAGCAAAAGTAAGTGCAAAAGTGAACCCAGTGATGTAAAAGGGGATATTCAGCAGAACAGAAGCCTAAATTTTCTTCCACTGCTGTCTCAAGGGACTTCGCATTCTTTGCAAGTTCAGCTTTCCAATTTTTATTACTTCTTGGTATTTCCTAAGGGTTTGAACAAATGGCCATTTCTAGCTATCTAGCACTTAGCATTTAGCAGAAGGAATAGCAATCAAAATTTGCATTTGGAATTGTCTTATTTAATTTGCCTGAAACAACAGAACTTGACTAAGCTTTCCACTGTCTGACATACATTTTGTCGGGTAAAATAAATATTGTGGGTTTTGATGGACAAATGGAAGAATGCTCAAAGACTGTGTTTATTAATGTTCTTTTATTACTTGCCATCTCTAATTATGCTGTATCTACAGCAGAACACCTCTTTCTCTTTTTTGGTGCCTTCTTCCCAGCACAACTAAAAGGACAAGGGTGTCTTTTTAGGTAGATACTTGAAGATTGACTGGCTTTACTCATTTTTCAAGGTCAAAAGAGAAATATAATGGAAAAAGTACAGTAAAGAATTTTAAAGCTGGTGAAATTCTATTAAAAGGACTGTTAATTCATGGAGGGAAGGAGATGAACATGGTGTTCACCTGTAGCTCTGCAGTATAATTTTCACATCAAGTGTTAATGACAGGTAACCTCCCTAGAGATTTATTCATTCATTTTCTCCCAGATACAATGTATTAGCCGAAGACTTTTCTGCACAGCCATGATGAGAATTGCAATTACCGCTAAGCAGCCAGGGGTTGTTTGTGAGATCATCAGAGCTAGTGAAGCTGAATGACTCACTCTATGCTGTTTACAGAGAGAAGACAAACAATACAGATGTATATGACAGACTACCTGGATCCCTATGGAGGAGCGGCGACTCTTGAGGAACTCCTCAGCTTTTGTCACGAGGATGGCCTTGTCACTGGTGCGTATGGAGGTGCTCTGGCTCTCGGCCGCGTGGCGCTGCGCGGCCGCCGTCTCCAGGGCCAGGTTCATGGCCTTGTTGCTGTCCAGGCTGTCGGTGGAGTTGTACATGGCTCGCCCGTCCTGCGGCCACGGCGCTATCCGCTGGGCCCGGCCGTCGTGGTACGCGTCCTGCGTGGACTCCGTGCTGCTCTGCGCCGTCACGGAGATCAGCGGCTTGGAAGTGGTGCGGGGGGGGACTGGCGGTGGAGTTTTCTTGTAACTTGTGTAAGTTACAGCTACGGGAAGAATTAAAAGAAAAAAAAATAAGCAGAAAGAAAAAAAGAAATAAAAAAGGAAAGAGAGAAATCAAGATTAATCTGATGGAAATTTGACAACAGAAATTACCTTAAGATTGTGCTATTTAAAAATTATGATGGTGTAATGTAGTACTCTTCATTAACCTCACTGTTATTTGAAAGTGTCACTCAGAATCAGATGGCTATCCACAGAAACATTTTATTTCAACAAGGAAGAAGGAATGGCTGGAAATGAGAGTCCCAAATTACAGTGAAGATGAAAGAGAGTTAGCGAGGATATGTGTGTTAAGACTTGTGCTGGTTAAGAACACACTGAGGCTTCTGAGATTAAGGGATAAAGCTCATAAAAGGAATAAAGGAAGATTTTTTTCTTTCCCCCTGTTCTTATTGTCTGTGAGCTTTGTGGTATACCACACTACTTTATGGTTTGCCACACTATAACCTCTTAAAATCCTGCCAGGTACACTGGTTGGAATTAGGCAAGGTTGACTACTTACTTGTGCAAGAAGCATATATTTTAAAATTTTTTTCAATACCATTAATAAATGAAAATTCAAGGCATGTTAAAAATATTCTAATATATGCAAAGCTATTAAGACTTTGATGAGCAGAGCAGTTCTGAAGCTGGTTTAACATAGATTACGTCTTCCAGCATAAGGCTCAACAAAACATCCAATAAAACTCTACAGATGCAGAACTGTGCCAATACTGCATCCTTACAAAATTTAAAAAAATCACAGAGATTAATATTTAATCATTAATATCACAGAGCTGAATTTTCTAATTGTCTAAGCCCACTAAACACTTTTTCACTTTTTTTTTTTTTTTGGTACTAATATGAATATTTCTGCTGTGGAAGAGTATTTTCCCCAAAGTACATACAATCATAATTCATAAAATTAGCAACTGATTAAAAAAAGCATTGTGGTATATCTTTATTCCTGTATGGAGAAACCAAGTCCAATTCACTTCTTGTATAGTTACAGGAGTAAGCTTGCCTCTGTCTGGTGTTACTAATGGATTGATATTGCAAGAGTTACTCAGGTAACCTTGGAATTGAGGTGATGAGCAATGAAGTCAGCCTCTCCAGCTGTGTTTTTTATATAAGGCTATGTTTCAGCTATCTGGAATGAAGAGATTGGCTTAGGAATTAACACCTTGGACTGCTGAGCCTGTATCACCAGGCCAGCCTGTGTGAACAGTGAGTCTAGAGAAAGTGACTCTTAAATGCTGACTCTTGAAAATCATAAATTAAAGTGATATCATACATAAAAGAAAGAAAGGCTGAGCTAGGAAAGAAAACTTTCATTTAAAGAACATTTTGAATTACTATTGATGCCGCTCAATTCTGGTAGAGATTTAGAGCCTTGCTCTGAGCTAAATTGCTCAGAGTGAAACATGTAAAACACATGAAACATGCTCTTCATTATCTGAGACAGTGCTTTTTTTGAAGCGCAATTTTGTTCTCCTATCACCAATCTTATCTCCTGTCAGTTTTGTCACCAGCAATTAAGAAGAAAGAAAAAAACTCAGTATTTTTCAGATGCTTTAGGGAGTACAGAAAGTTCACAGAAGAAGGGGGAGGCTGTAAATCTTCAAAATTAAGACAGTGTTTAAAGAAGTAGTGGATTTGAGGAGAGAGCTGCCATAATGTTGCTCCACTCTCCGCAAATTTAGATGCAAGTGATCAACATGCTGGGAAACATTATAAATAGAGAAAATGGGGTGAAATAGGGTGAACAATATCCAGCACAGGAGGCCAATTTTACCTGTAACATAAGACAGGTTATCACTGTGATAACTACTTTACTGTTTTTACATCTGTCTTCATGTAAAAGAATAGCAGTGAAAAATGAAACATATGGTTAATGTGATAATGAAACATCACAAGCAGGTATATCCCTACTACTTGAGCAGCAGATCACTTCTCTGTCTAATGAATATAAATGTTAAACTGCTGTTGCAGCCCTTCTTAGCTGACTTAATCTTCATTTACATTTCTGAAAAAGAAAAACTCTTCCTGTGGCAAAACCAAAACAATTTCTTGCCTTTTTTTCTTCCCTCCCTTTTTTCTCCCCCTAGGATTAAATATTTTATTCTAAAAAAGTCTGATTATTTCAGTGGAGTGACATGATTTAAAGCCACCAGGTATTAGAGTAACTGCAGTGTTCTGGCAAGCATTTGGTCGTGAACACTAAACAGAAATTAAAAATCCCACAGATGTTCTTGGAACAAGTAGAAGAAACTTCCAGTAGACTAGAAGTCTGTGGGAAACTGGCTACATTTTTACAGTGAAATATGGCCGGAAGAAATTCAATTAATTCCTATACAGTCACAGAGATCAAATATTGAACAGGAAATGAAAAAAATCCATCTCTACACTGTTAATGAGTTTGTATCTGGAATAACAGTTTCAGAGACAGAAATCTGGGACTAATTGGAGACTAACAAAATCAAGTAAGAGGATAGAGACCTGCATTTGAGACTCAAATCTTGCTACCAAATTCTATTTGCTTTAATAATTCTAGTGGTTCAAGTGAATTAAATGGGATAACTTGGCATGTGTTGGTGACTTAAGAGACAGCTACATAACAGATTAGGGTCCTGTTAAAGGAGAAAGTAACCCACAGTTTACTGTTCATGCTTGGGTTTAGATTTCTAATAAATAAGTATTGCCTTAAGGTCTGAAGCATGAAACTTTATTCACTTGCAAATTGTTTCCATTAGCAATGGCATCTGGGAATAGTCCTGGTATCAACAATAAACCTTTTCTATCATGTCTGGTTCTTGGTCCTGGCAAATGTAAATGCAACACACCATATATGGGAAGAAACATTTCCTGCTCCTAATTGAAAATGAACTTTTTATTTATCATCTGCTTCTGCTGATGGACAGGGGCTCCTGCCACCTTTGCACCATTCTCTACCTTGTATATTTTATTTAGCTTAGGAGTTATTAGTCCAAAGCAAGCAGGTAAAACCTCCTCAGCACTGCTTTGTGTCTTCCCCATTTTTAGTCATCATTCTGCAAACTCCAGAGCTGTGGAGGACTTTGCTGGAGGGTTGGTGCTGGGCAGCAGTCCTGGCGAGCAGAGCACTGCCTGGGGACAGTGCCCCGCAGCTCCACAGGGCACTGGTGGTGAAAATTGCACTGGGAATGGGACTGGGATGGAGAATTCCTGTCTTCAGTGCAGACAAGCTGAGCATCAGAGGCAGCACCACAGCAGGAGATGAGAGCCAGCATGAGGCAGGCCTGTGGAAGAGCCCCAGGAGGGCAGAGTTGGCGCAGGATGGCTTCAGACAGATTTAAATTGTGCACTTGGGCAGATGCCAGAGATCCGCTCCATGTTTGGACACGTAAAACGTCAATCCAGGATAATCTCCTGTTTTTTCTAGTGCTGACCAAAGATTTCTGAATTCTTAAGTTTTCTGATTTCTTTAATTTTTTAGTGGTTTTAGTGTGCATATCCTGAATATTCCTGATATTTCTCTTGCCAGTCCTGCTGCTGAGCAATGAGGTTCAAGCAAAGTAAAAGCAACAGGCCTCTGCAATGCTGTTAATAAGTTTGCAAAATCTATAGCTGCTCTGAAATGCAAGGAAAAATAAAGCAGATGGCACAAGATATAAATATATCTTTTTATGAATAAACTAGAAAAAGAAACTAAAATTTTCTTTCCAGTTTTATTCAAAGGCTATCTTGATATAAAAAGCAGAATTTATTTTTTGCCTAATTTAATAAAGTGGGAAAAATATTTTTTAAAGTTCTGAACATACATTTTGTCTTCTATTACCTTATAATAATGAATCAAAAATTACAAAAATGGTGACAAGCTGTTCTAATTCTAAACCATATGAATATTTCAGACTCCTACTTGAATAAAAGTATTAACTGCTTGGGTACTTGCCCCACTTCAACATAAATATGTGCAATTGGCTCCACTAGATTTTCCTTTAAGGAAGGGCATTGGAGAAATGGAGAATAAATAAAATGGTTCTGTGCTGCTTCATAGTGGGCCAGATTAAACAATGATACAAATCAGGTATAAATTGTTCAATGCACTACAACATGCATTAATTTCTCACTCAGTCAGGAAAAAGTGTAAAATATCAAATTAGTTTTGTAAGGATTGATATCCTAAGTGCCAGACCCTCACATGCACAAGATTGCCTACCAGTGCTGAGTTTGGCACAGAGGTGGCTATGAATGAGCTGTTCTGTAAACTACATTAATTGCTTTATGTGCTCTGTGATGCCAGGCAGGCAGCATCAGTCACATCCAGAATATCAGGCACTATGGCAATACTGCTGAGTAGCCAGGAAGATTATTCCAGCTCTGGAGAACTTGCAATTTGATGGTTTGGATACACACAGTAGAAATACAAGGAAGATTTCCTGATCATTTATGAGCAACAGTTTAACTGATACAGCTGGAAGAAGAATATCCCTCTTTATCTCCACTGTATTTGTCTAAACTTGCTAAAAGTTACTGTTGATACAGCCATAGAAATCAGTTATTCCAGCCATATTCCAGTGCCAACAAAGTTTATACTAGAAATAAAATTACTAAACTAAGTAAATTTAGATATAACTTCAGGTTAGCCATAGACCTTCACAGACACAAGGCAGTAGGAGAAATGTGATCTATTTGATGAAATAGCAGTGGCTGTGGGTGACATTCAGAACACCTTTCAAAAGGCAGCCTTTTAATAAATCACCACTTTTGGCCAATTTGCAAGATAGAATCACCTGAGGGGCTTTTACAAATCAATGTAACCATTAAGCACTTAGTCAAAATAACATTATTTAGGCTGAGATCACAAAATTAGCTGGGTGATGAATTTACATGAAAGCACCATCAATTAAAGGAAATGGTGGTGGCAGGAGTAAACTGGATTTTGTGTTTTGTAGGGAGGTTTCTGCAGCAGGAGGATAATTGCTCTGCAGGGAGCTGGGAGCTGCCCTGGAGGCAGAGGTCCCAG